GAGAGAGAGAGAGAGAGAGAGAGAGAGAGAGAGAGAGAGAGAGAGAGTGAAAGCAGATGTGTTTTGCTTTAGTGGATGAATGTTCACACTTGAAGTGAGCTTCATTCGAGCATTCATCAATTGAAATAAATACGAACATAACATATATATGTATGATCAACAGGAACGTGCGGTAGACAAATATAATATTTGAATTTGAGCACACATCTCATAAAAAGCAATGGAAAACGCAAAAGTAAGAGCAAAAGATAAAGTTTAATATAAATCTTTCGACATTTATTACTTGATGTTGAATTGGCATGGTCACATGGTGCTGCTACAACAGCATTTTATACTCACACCACCATTACCACATTCACACATACGCATACATAGTAGATGCTGGAGCCTGCTTCATTCGACCGAGGTTGAAGGAATGGGAGTGCAAGTATGTGTGTGTGCCAGAGAGACACACAGGGAGAGAGAGAGAGAGAGAGAGAGAGAGAGAGAGAGAGAGAGAGCGAAATTGTGTGTGGTATGCCAAAAGTAGAGAGTAGCAAAAATTTTATCTAAAAAGTTTTTATGAGCACCTCGTCTATGTCTGCAAAAGAAATGAATTTTCGGACAATAAGAAATGGTGAAACATTGAAACCAAACCTTTAACATATCACTAAATTATCCGAACGAAACGGTTCTGTGCACAAGATAGACCATAGATATATGTTTGTAGATGTTAGCACTTATGGTGGCTGTCAAACGCTTTCTTTTCTCTCACTCCCCCTTCTCCTCTCGCTTTCTCTCATTTGGATGCATTTTCATGCTGAAGAGACTGCTATGAGCTCCAGTTTGCTTTACTCTCTTTCTCCATCGAGACTATTGTATTGCATTGGTGTTTGCTTTTTTAAACCACGCGATAAACGGTATTACTAGCTAAATATGGTCTTTTGTATGATCTTTTACTGGTTTTTTTTGTATAGTTTTTCTCTGAGTGATGCTTTGAATGGAACAGAAACTTTACTGATATCACTGAATTGATTTCGTGTATTCATATTGAGGACTTGCACAATATTATATTACGATGACGGTACTTTTTTTTCTTCGTCTCTTCGGGTTTTTTTCCCTATCGGTCATTGCATTATATTTCTCACTAGCTTGCATTGTCTGTATTCACCATATGATTATTTGAATGGTCACACGAAACACAGAATATCCAGATAACTGAATGTGTCATTCTGTCATATTGGAAAAGTTATTGAAAATAAATATACAAATTCAAATATATAAATATACATAGAATTCACTTGCAATAAAGTGTCGTGTTCATTTGATAGTGTGTTGCAACTGCTGCAACCATGCCATTCACTGCTATCGAATTGTGTTGTATTTTACGTTGTACCAACAACAGCGCCAGAAATGGGACACATTCATAAACGGAGAGCGAGCGAGAGAGAGAGAGAAAGAGAAATAACGCCAATGAAAACCAACAGAAAAGGCGAAAAATTGTTTTTGTTCGAAGTGAAGCGGGCAATATAAATTGAAAATGATAACAACACACAGCGTCAAGCATGCAAGAGCCATTATCCGAATGGATTAGACTAGACTATAGAAGCGGAAAATTTTTAGTTGAGCCGGATATGTAGCCGGAATTGAGGCAAACTGTAACATTTTCATATCGCATATTCCGTGTATTCACGTTACGAAACAATTAGACAGCATTTTTCCACGTGAAAGCATGTCACAACGAACGATGCATATCAAAATGTTTCAATAATTTTATTTTGACGCACACACAAAAACCATATTCACTCTTGCATGTCAAAATTGTACACATGTGTGCCTTTTCCATCGATCACATTGAACAAACACATACATCGAACACAAAATATTGAATTCGTTCACTTGAAAAAGTCGTCTTTGTCGCCGTGATTGTGCCATTTTAAAGAGATTTTGAACTCCGAAACATTGATTTCTCCGGGAATATTTTCACATGATCTTGTTCAACGTGAATGGATTTTTTTTCTTCTTGTTTTCGAAAAATGCTGACGTAGTTGCTACATAGGAGCGACTGTAGAATGTGTGCAATTCAAAATAAAAAAAAACGGTCAAAAGTATAAGAATCATGTGAGTGTTCACACTCATTCGAGTCGTTCGCGTATGCCATCAAATGCAGACCCAAAGGAACTTGAATTATTGACTCTTCAAACTGAATATAAATTAAACTGGACACTCGGGTGCTTGTGTCAACAGATGGCACAATTAATTGGTTGAAAAGCTTTATAAATATAACGAAATAGAAAAGGAGAGGAAAAGAGAACGAGATAAAGAAAGAAATGGTAGAGGAAACACCTGAATATTCTCTATCAATATATAAAATGAGTGGTAGAGATAAATCAGAAGATGAATATTGCTGAGCTTTTGTTTTTAATTGAATTCCTTTTTATCTGTTATACAATGTTTCCGGTGCAGGTTGAAATTGAAGGTCTTACCGGTGACATACGGTTCAATGAAGATGGCCGACGCATAAACTATACACTAAACGTTGTGGAAATGTCATCAAACAGTGATATGGTTAAAGTGGGCGAGTGGTCGGATCAATTTCGATTCAGACCGATTACAAATCGACAAGATCGTTTGCCAACTCGCAACGATTTCGAACGCAATCGAACATATATTGTAACAACAATTATTGAAGAACCGTACATTATACCGAAGAAAAATAAATTCGATTCAAACGAACTCATCGAGGAGAAGGACAAATATGAAGGATACTGCAAGGATCTAGCCGATATATTGGCAAAACGGCTCGGCATTAAGTGTAAGTATTTTCAGCCACTATTTATATATACTCACAACGAATATCGAAATGTATGCATTCATATTTCTTTCTTATGGCCGAAAAATAGTTTATTTTATTACATATTGCAATAATAAATAATGTAATGCCATCGAAATAGCGATAAGAGTCAAACGACAGAAATGTCCAATGCCAATATTCATAATTCATTTAAATGGGCCTTGATTGGTGCATTAAATTTATACATTTTTCACATTTATTTTTGTTTTTATTTTTAAACATAGTTGAATGTATTTTGTTGTTGATGGTGTTGTTTTCGTGTGTTTTTTTCTTCTCTCGATCATTTTACAGATGCATTGCGAATTGTGAAAGACAGGAAATACGGCGCTAAAAATGCTGATGAAGTCGGTGGATGGGATGGAATGGTTGGCGAACTAGTGCGAAGGGTATGTTCTGATCAATAAATTGAACATTTTTATATATAAAAAATAAATAAATTATAATAAATTGAATAAGTAAGAGTATTTAAGGAAGAAAAAGCACGTCTTTATTATTGTTAAAAAGCGTGATGAACATTATTATGCGTTGATATTTTTAATGTGGCACAACAACAACAAGCAAATTATTATGAATTCCACCCAAATTCATACCATATTTTGTTATATCCGGAAAAAATAAATAAAAATAAAATAAAATTATGGAAAGTGTGTGATTAATGAAATTTATTTGAGTGCTGCAATGTTGATAAGGAATTCGTTTACTGAAAACTCATTAATCGCATTAAATTCTTGCTGACCTTTACACAATTTCAATTGGCTGATTCAATAGATAGAGTCGAACCATGCAATGGCATGATAATCGAGTTCTGAGTATAAGATTATTTCACAAATGCAGATCTCCACATTGTGCCGCATTTACTTTGCGTCTGGCCAAAGATTCATTTTCAATGTTATTTTTAATCTTCTTTGCATGTGGCAATAGTTAAGATATAAAACAATCCCGAAAAAACAACAAAAACAAACAGCAACTTGCAAATAGAAAATAGGAAATTACTGGGCATGTTGTGAGTAGTATATGTACGTTGCGCATTAAAATCTCGTTTTTGTGCTGCAGTAATGGAAATACTTCGCCGATTACGTTGTGCAAAGGTAAAAATGGGTAAAAAAGAAAGTTATCTCAATAAATTTTATTATACGAGTTGAAAGGAATTGGCAATAGATTCTTGGTGCCAGTGTTTGGAGCAAACATTGTAAAAATGCTTAGAATAATTGCGTTGCGAGCCCATCGCACTTGCGGGTAAACAAGCAACGAGACAAAAACTCTTTTGATAAATGGGAAAATGAAATACTTGCATAGAAAATCACAAAGACCAGTGCATTGGATGTGCAAAGAAGAGAGCAGAAGATCGAATGAGTGAGGAAAAAATGGCGAAATGTGCGCACAAACACAAACACCGAGAGAGAGAGAGAGAGAGAGAGAGAGAGAGAGAGAGAGAGAGAGAG